TGCTCTTATAGCCAATGAATGTGTGGATACTAGATTGCGAGGGGAGGTACCAGGCATTATGTGCAAGCTAGATATAGAGAAGGCTTATGATCATGTGAACTGGGATTTTTTGCTAAACATTCTCAGACAGATGGGATTCGGTGAAAGGTGGTTGAAATGGATTGGCTTTTGTATTAAAAACTGTTAGGTTCTCCATACTTGTAAATGGAGAACCTGTGGGTTTTTTCCCATCAGAGAGGGGTCTTAGACAAGTGACCCTGTCTCCCCTTTCCTATTCATCATTGCCATGGAGGGTTTCAACAGTATGATGAGGATTGCAAATAGCAACAGGTGGATCAAGGGATTCAAGGTTAGCAGCAGAACACGAGTAGATATGGAAGTATGTTATCTGTTGTATGCAGATGATACTGTGATATTTTGTGAAGCTATAGCTGAACAAATTTGCTATATCAGGATGATACTAATTGTTTTGAAGCCATTTCTGGTTTAAGCGTTAACTGGAGGAAAAGTAACCTCTTTCCTATTAAAGAAGTGGTGCAGATGGAGGAACTAGCTGGTACCTTGGGGTGTAAGGTAGACAAATTACCAACAGTCTATCTAGGCATGCCATTAGGCAACAAACACAAATAATTGATTATCTGGGATAGGATTTTGGAAAAGACTGAAAAGAAGTTGGCAAATTGGAAGACACAATACTTGTCTCTTGGAGGCAGACTCACTTTGAAAAATGCAGTTCTGGACTCGCTTCCCACATATGTGATGCCCCTCCGTATTCCCTATTCCAATAAGTGTGGTCAAGAAGTTGGACCGATTAAGAAGAAATTTGCTTTGGTTTGGGAACAAGGAGGGAAAGGGGTATCATTTGGTAGAATGGAAGACTGCACAATTACACAAGGAGGTTGGTGGTTTAGCAGTCAGGAATCTGAAACTGCAGAATGATTGCTTGCTCATGAAATGGTTATGGAGATTAAATGGAAATGAACATGCTCTATGGAAGGAGGTAATCCTGAATTAGTATGGCCAGACAGAGCAATGGTGTACCAATGCTGTATCAACCACCTATGAAACATCGGTATGGAGATCTATAAGGAATCTTTGGCCTAGACTAGTAAAGAATTCATGTTATGAGGTGGGTCCTGGGAACAAATACTATTTGGAAGGACCTATGGATTGGACAAGAAGTTTTAATGCAAGCTTTCCCTGATCTGGCCAATATATGCACTAACCGTTAGAGGTTACGAGTGGCTGATAGCTGGTCCCACAGGGATGGAACTTCTTCTTCAGGAGGCATCTTAATGACTGGGAAGTAGGAAGGTTTGTGGAGCTATTGCAGATGATTGATGGTTTCAAAGGCACTACTATAGAGGATGACACTTTTAGATGGAAACATGATAAGGATGGCAAGTTCTCTGTAGGTAGAATTTATAGGAAAGAGGTATCCTGGATGCCTGAGAACAAAATAGGTCCTTGGAAGCATGTATGGAAAAGTATGACTCCTACTAACGTCAAGTGCTTTGCTTGGTTAGTAATCAGGAAAGCTTGCCTCACTCATGAGATTCTGCAGAAAAAGGGATTGCCAATTGTGTCCAGATGCATGTTATGTAGTGACGCTAGAGAGACAAATAACTATCTGTTCCTCCATTGTAAAGTCACATCTCAGCTTTGGACTATGTTCCTTAGTTTAACAGAGACAAAATGGTCAATGGCAGAGCACACAACAGACTTGTTAAGTTGCTGGATTAGGAGAGGGGGAAGCAAGACACATAAGAAGTGGTGGAGAATAATCCCACACTGTATCTGGTGGACTATTTGGAGGGAGAGGAATGGAAGAAACTTTGACGATAGATTCAACAACATTCAGAAAATCAAAGAGAGCTGCATAACAACTTTCTACTTTTGGTGTAAAGAACATTGTATAGAAAATGCTGAACAATTAGTAGATCTTTTAGGATTACTGTAATTAGTCTCTTGTTCTAGCTTGTTACTACCTTTTTGGAGGTCTCCAGCATACCTTAATGCTGAGGAATACAACATTACCAGTTTCAAAAAAAAAGAAAGGTAAAATAGGAAAGAGGACTTGTATTTTTAGCGAAGGGACTGCAGTGTGAACATCTAAACAGGGATAAATAACTCGGTATGGCATGATCACGTGAATAACAATGCACAGAGCAACTCAGCATGATCACAGGCAGAAGTGCAGCTGTGGATTACCTTCTACTATTGGGGATATTTTCCTACGAAAAACAAAGAACTAAGGGTTTTCTTGACAATAGCTTCTTCTTTTTAAACTCACTAGCCGAAAAGCAAAAGCAGCTATTCATTTTTTGGGTCAACTATAATCCATTCTAAAAAATGTCACAAGTACAAACAATAAAGTCACTGACAATGCTTTGTATTCCAAATTTTCTTAGTGAGCATGGAGTCTATTGTCACACACACCGGGTCGTTCTTTTTTATGGATTTGTCATAGAGAGTGGTTGATAACATGCTGCCATGCCCACCTTTTTCCATTTTATTTTTGCATTCCTCCCTCCCTACTTCTCATAGCTCCATGTACTACTATTCTTGTCCTCCCCTTTTTTCATGTTTCTAAAAAAAAAGAAATATATGGAGCTATCAACTGGGTCAAAATGTTAACATAATAAATTTCACAAATCAAAATATTTCAGAGTGAGATCTAGATTTATCCATGTACTTCTATTTTTGTTCTAAAATTAGCCTCCGTTATATTTCATTCAACTTTATTTTAAAGCTTTTGGAAGTATTGAAAACTTATTATGTAATTAAATTATGGTTATTGTTTGCACTATTTGACAAATGTGGTAGTCTAATGCTGTGAAAACTGCACAACATCAAACTTAGAAGATACATGGTACAAAAAAAGTGAATACATAGAAAAAAATTAAAGTAAAACTAAAACTAAAACAGTTAAACCAAATTAAAGTAAATCTTACAAATGGGTTAGAATTGGGCCACAATGGAGATCAATTTAAAAATAGGTTATGTTGGGCAGGCTAAAAATCCGCCCAATACAAAATTATCTTGTGTCCAACCCATAGGATGTTGGGTGTCTGGGTAGACCATCAATTTTTGGGCCATGTTTGACACCCCTAGATTTTAGCTATAGAACAGTGCAATGATTTGGGAAACTAAAACTTCGCATTCCACAAGGTTCATTTGAACTCTGACAATCATTTCCTATCAGTACTTGATTGATTGATGCTGTCCTATACTCCCTTCCCTTACCTGTTAAGTACCTCTTTGTTAAAAAAACACCCATACTAGAGAGATGACAAATCTTTGTTAACAACAAATGAAACTGATGTGTTATTTGTGTGGTATCTCCAAACCTGATGTGTAGAGCTTCTTTATTCTTCCCCTTACTTCAGGAGGGGTGTGTGGGGATTTGGCTGGGTGTGAAGCTTGCAGTATAGATTAAACATAAGTAGGAAAACCTAAATCAGCTACAAATACATGTACTGTGGATATGAAAAAACATTAGGGATACATTTCAAACTTACTTTTTTATAGTATATTGCAGACAGAGATAACAATAATACATTAGAGTTGCTTCTGCTTTTTTGTATCATGCTTGCCTACGTGCCAACAGAATGTTTGCAAAAGAAATAGGAAATGCATTCTTTCCTTGTTTGGAAGATGGGCTTAACAAGTAGGGTCTAGTGACATACTACCAGATATGTTGGCCATTCAGTGAAAAAATCCCTTTATGTGTTTGGTTGAAAAAGTTTGGCATTTCCATTTGAATTTTCTGTGGATTATCATGAGTTTCCTTCCATAAGATCAATGCTGAAATGAATTATTGCAATCCTGATCTGCACCAACCAATGGAAATGCTTATCAGCTTGTGTTACTTGGCTAGGTACGCAACTGCAAGTGCACGCTCTGATGGTCTTCTTCTGCTTTGTGGAGGGCGGGATGCCAATAGTGTGGTGAGTGAATCATGTTCTCTTGCAAACAAAAAAAAATGTTTCTTATGCTGATAATTGTTCTTGTCTTATAAATACCATTCACTTTGGAAGGCTATGTTACCATGAAGTTTACCTTTTTTTATTCCTCTTTACTTCAATTCCACCACCTCCGCTACCTCTTCTATATCCGTGATTTCTCACAGAATTTTTCTTTTTACCTTCACGCACACATGAAGCACATATCCTTGATGATACATGATTCCCAGCTATGTTACTAAGTTCGTAAGCTGTTGCCAGTCACCTTCATGGATAAATAGCGGTGAAATATAGTTGTTCACACTCCCCAGTTTTCAATTATTCTCCCTTTTCATATATATGGACAATATATTGCATATGTTAGGTTTTCCATTCACTTGCAGGTCTGATTTTTTTTCTTGGGTCAAGCACGTGAACAATATTTCTGTTAATGGTTGGAAGTTAGACCTGAAACCAGTACCTCTTGCATGCTCTAATAACATGTTCAATTGTGTAAATAATTCAAAGTTTAAGCTGTTAGAAGGGGGGCATTTTATTTATTTGTTGTATGTTAGCAACAATTATGAATGGCCACACTTCCTCATGTTTTAGTTTCCTGTCTGATCTCCAAAGTTTAAGCTGTTAGAGGGGGGCGGGGCATTTTATTTATTTGTTGTATGTTAGCAACAATTATGAATGGTCACACTTCCTCATGTTTTAGTTTCCTGTCTGATCTCCGTTGATCCCCTGTGTTCCGTTGTCTTGCCATCTCGTTCTCCTCAGTGTCCCTCTCCTGATAACCACCAAGTCTGGCTTACCAATTTGCAGCACCAGGTCATAGATGATTTGATGTCTAACTTTGAGTTTTTCTAAACGAATGTAAACGTTACGAAGCTTCTTTGAGGGGTTTGGATCTGATTAGCAGTTAATTTGTACCGTGAATGTTGCGACTTGGATTTAAGTAAATGGGCTTGTGTGATTGTTGTACTTACCATATTCTTTTGCCTCGGTGATTCACAGCCACTAGCAAGTGCATATGGACTGGCCAAACATAGAGATGGGCGGTGGGAATGGGCCATTGCTCCTGGTGTGTCACCATCTCCTAGATATCAGCATGCCGCAGTAAGTGGTTTTAATGACTCAATTAATCCTCAGAAATTGTAAGGTGTTTATCAGTTGTATTCTGGTAATTTAGGTTTTTGTTAATGCTCGGCTCCATGTTTCTGGAGGGGCTCTTGGTGGTGGACGCATGGTAGAAGACTCTTCCAGTATAGCCGGTACTTTTTGATGATTTTCTTGTCATTTTCTTACGGACAACTGATTTTGCTTGAATTTTTAATTATTGTTATTATTATTATCATTATTATTATTATTATTATTTTAAATGTTAATCCCTGAAAACCCTGCATATTTCTTTCTTTCTTTCCTTTAACTTTTGTCTGGTGGCAGTTCTTGATACTGCTGCAGGAGTGTGGTGTGACATAAAATCTGTTGTCACCAGTCCTAGGACAGGTAGATACAGTGCAGATGCAGCTGGGGGAGATGCTGCAGTTGAATTGACCAGGCGTTGTAGGCATGCGGCTGCCGCTGTTGGTGACTTGGTATTTATGTATGGTGGTTTGCGTGGAGGTAATGCTAGAATATGGTCATCTTAATCGCTTCTAATTTGATATATTCAGATGACAACTATTTTCACTTTTTTGAGTATGATCTGAAGTCATTGCTTATTTTAAAAAAAAGATAACTGAAGACATTTAATTCTATATTCTTACCTCGTCCCTGCTGAGGATGTGCTGTTTGGTGTATGTGTTTATAAGTAGCCCAGCTAAATCCCGATCTTAGCTACTTGTAAAGTAAAATATAGATAGAAAAATGGAAGTTCTTGGAATGCATGAGCAACATCTATTGTGTACTTCTCATAGATTTTTTTTAAAATTTTTTTATCCCTATTTGCACTGATTATGGATACCATTGGTAAGGTAACTGCCTACTTTTCTTATGTTTCACTTTCTAATAGGTGGGTTCTTTGTCTTTCGTAGGTAAATTGTGTAATTTGTTGCTGTGCCTAGACTGCAAGCCAAGCCATGCTGATAAAACTAAAACTAAAACTAAATGCTGCTGTTGAAAACTGAAACTGATGAAACGTGTGCCGCCCTGTCTAAATATTGAACTGTTAAGAGGAGCACTTTGTATGTACTTTTACATTGGCTTGCAATACGCCCCCTTATGTGCGGGCTGTAGCTTGAGTCTTTTTCTTTGGCAAAGCACTCTGAAATTCTCTTTGATTACGGGTAGCAATGAGGTTTAAACTCAGAACCTCATACCTTATAGAATTGTGTGACCATCTCATATATTTATCTGCAACAGAAACTAATGTTTTAAGTTGCATGTCTTTTAAGTTCTAAAATATTAAGAAGGAATGCCTCTTTTCAATGTAAAAGGTCTGGTCTTGGTTGGCTAACTTTTGCCTGGTGAAGTTGCAACTAGAACGGATGCTCTTTGTGTTGCACCTAGTAGTTAGCTCTCCCCATTGAGGGATTTTAAATTGGCGCTGTAGGCCAAAAAGAGTCTCTTGTTGCTTAAGAGAAATGGGATGGACTCCTTATTTGTTCTAGTGAAAGACATGCCTCTAAAATGCTGAGATCACTTTCTTTGTTTTCTACTTTGCTGAATATCTTTTCCATGTGAATAAAATGACACCAAAGGTATGTTCATAGCAATGCTGCTGGAAAAGGTTTAAAAAGCGGGCCTGTGAAGTAGATTGAACTGCAATTAAGAGCACCTCCTTTTGTTCACATCATAACACCGTCTAATCAGAATCAGGTTACATTGATAACTGATTGCTCGATATGTAAGTTATTGAAGGCTTCCCTGGTTCACAATAGCAAAATCTATTCCCTATCCACCACCCTATCTGCCTTGGTAGAGACGTAGAGTTAACCGGTACCTATGCTAGTGGGAGGTAGGAGGTACCTGGTGGAATAGTCGAGGTGTGCGCAAGCTTGCCTGGACACTCCCGTCATAAGAAAAACCAAAACTCTTACCAATAATGCGCACTTCAATGATGAGAATGAGATCAAACTCTTCTCTTATTCTTCAGTGGAACATGTGCCTTTGAATATTTGATTGAACTTACTCCAAATAAAGGTGTTGGAGATGTAAACTAGAAGCTGTGATTAATTATTAGAACAATAACTAGCTGATCTCAGATGAAAGTCGTTTGTTGAGTTGTTGCAATTCTCCAGCTCATGAAACTGTTTACTTTCCAAACTATAGGCACCAAAATACTGGCAGATTCCTAAATCTTAGTTAATTTCCTAGCTCTTACCTCTTTCCAAGTACTGTAATGCCATCTACTTATGTGAAAGTATTATTATGGAGTATACTTGCTTAAATTACTGTAATTAAATATGTGCCTAGGAGAGGTTATTATGGACTCATGCCTTCAAAACATTCATTGAACTTATTCCAAATGAAGTGTTGGAATCTTGGATATGTAACTGTTGAAGCTGAAGCAATAAATTAGATGATCTCAGATTGGGATCATTAGTTTTCTCAGTCCAAATTATGTAATTATTGACTTTCCAAACTATAGATACCAAAATACTGCTAGATGCGTGAATCTTAGCAAATCTCCTAGCTGCTACATCTTTCTGAGTACCATAATGGCATCTACTTATAATTTTCGACTAAGTTGCTCGGACTGGGTGCGGGTATCCAATACGATGCGGATCTAAAGGCCGGACTCTTCATTAAATAATTTAGGATTCGGGGGTGTTAAGAAGTCCCACATCGGTAGAGGGATGGGAACTTGGTCTCCTTATATGGACTTGGACAAACCTCCACTTATAAGCTAGCTTTTGAGATTGAGTTAGACCCAGGTACCATATCTTTACATGGTATCAGTGGTGAACCCATCCCAATTTGTTGTTCACCGATGTTGGGCCCCATTTGTAAGTGTTCACGCTCCAATTTTGGGTGTGCTGGGGAGTGTTAAGAAGTCCCACATCGGTAGAGGAATGAGAAATTGGTCTCCTTATATGGACATGGACAAACCTCCCCTCATAAGCTAGCTTTTGAGATTGAGTTAGGCCCAGTACCATATCTTTACAGGGGGTATGGATCCGAGTGTGGATATGGGTACTGGGAAACAACCAATAAATATATATTATGACAGTTGAAGTATATATCTCAATTTCCTTTTTTTTTATAAAAAAAGGGTATATCTCGATTGATTAAAAAACCAAAAACCCAATCAATCTGTACTTTCCGTTCGTAGATGAAGGCAAAACACCCAAGGTAAGTTGACCGAATTTCAGTGTGGATTCCACCCCACCCCCTGTTGTGTCGACATGGGTGTGGCAAGGATTTTGAAAAGTCCGAGCAACTTAATTTTGCAAATAGGATTGATCCTACTTATATAAAACTATTGTTATGAAATATACTTGCTTAACAAAGTTCTCTAGTTAATTATGCCCCCAGGAGCAGGTATTCAGGTAGTTTCCTGGTTTATGCTGCAATCTTGCTTCTGGTGTTGAGAAATGGCTGATTTTTTGGAATCTCTATGTGTAGGTGATATTTTTGTAATACCAAGACAGTATCTGAGTTGGTGTTTTTGCCGCAGGGGTACTGCTAGATGACTTGCTTGTCGCGGAAGACTTGGCTGCTGCTGAAACAACTAGTGCAGCTTCACATGCAGCCGCTGCAGCTGCAGCATCTAATGTTCAAGATGGAAGGATTACCGGAAGGTATGGATTTGGTGATGAAAGAACAAGGCAAACCGTTCCAGAGGAAGTTAATGATGGTTCTGTTATATTGGGAAGTCCTGTTGCCCCCCCTGTAAATGGTGATATGTTTACTGATATAAGCACTGAAAATGCCGTGCTTCAAGGATGTTGGTGAGTTTGCAGTTGCATAAGAATGACAATATCTGCTGTTATTCGTATATTGCAATTTTGTTTTTTGAATTTCATCTCCCATGGCTTCATTTGTAGGAAACTTGGCAAAGGTGTTGAATACCTTGTGGAGGCCTCTGCAGCAGAAGCAGAGGCCATTACTGCTGCACTAGCAGCTGCCAAAGCTCGACAACAAGGTAATGGTGAAGTTGAACTTCCGGATAGGGATCGGGGAGCTGAGGCAACACCTAGTGGTGAAGAGGAACCTACCTTGATCAAACCTGATTCAAATAATTCTATCCCAACTGGAGTTAGGCTGCATCACCGTGCTGTTAGTCCTATGCCTAAAATAATATGTTTCGTATCCGATTAAATTTGTATGTAAACTGATTTAATGTATTTAATTCACCTGTAGGTGGTTGTAGCTGCAGAGACTGGGGGTGCCCTAGGTGGTATGGTGCGACAACTTTCAATTGATCAATTTGAAAATGAAGGCAGGCGAGTAAGTTATGGAACCCCAGAAAACGCGACAGCAGCAAGAAAACTTTTGGATAGACAAATGTCCGTTAACAGTGTTCCCAAAAAGGTATGATGACTTCGGTTATGTGGTTCAACTAATATTGATTAGCAATGAGAATTATGGCTTTAGCTTGACACGTCTACTGGGCAGGACCGACAAATTTGTACTCTCCAGTTCCGATTGCCCCAATGTGATTTGGCTAGTTTTGCACCTAAAACTCACACTTTAACTGCGTGTGGTGCTTAAAGCCCCAATAGTTGTGGAGTGCTTTTTAAAGTTTTTTGTCTTTTACAACACTGGTTTTGTGCGGCCTTATTTATCTGGGCTTCGGAACGGCAATGTGATCAAGCTCGCACATGCAGAGTTCAATATTCTCAATACACATTGAAGAAGAAAGTAGTCCACTTTCTTATACACCTTCCTAAGAAAAGAAAACACTCCACTTGTTAGAATGAGTATCTGTTGTTAGCTTTGGCTGATATATGTTGTATCATAAACCACATGCTTTTGGTTTTATATCTTTTTTTCCCTTTACCGTTTCAGGTGATTGCCCATCTTCTGAAACCTCGAGGTTGGAAGCCGCCTGTCAGACGGCAATTTTTCTTGGATTGCAATGAAATAGCTGATCTTTGTGATAGTGCAGAGAGAATATTTTCCAGTGAACCTAGTGTTTTACAGCTAAGGGCTCCTATTAAGATATTTGGTGACTTGCATGGGCAATTTGGGGATCTGATGCGTCTTTTTGATGAGTATGGTTCCCCATCAACTGCTGGGGACATAGCGTGAGTGTCTTGACTCAATCTTGCTTCATGTTTCTTGTTCTAACCAACAGTGCCGCCGTTTAAGCAGCTTAGGTTGCCTGTGTTCTGTATCTGTGAATTTTTTGTGCATTTTATATTCATAAAGTTGGCGAAAAAGTCTCATCATACCTTGTCAATATTTATAATGATGATAATCACCTTTTTTTCCGTCATGTAAAATTAGCTCTTGCTAGTAATTAGGGAACACATACATTTGTTGCTCTTTGTAGAGAGTCATGTTTTTGTATGAGAATCTGAGATCCTCTACTTTGTATACATCTCTATGTGGGAATTTTTTTGTACATTAATAAATTGTATACCTTATTAAAGAAAGTCTGTTAGTAGCTACCCAAAGATTAATAGAAACTTCCCCCGAGCATACAAATAGAAGGGGAACAGTGTAACAAGGGAGAAACCCAATGATGTATGTTTTTTTCATAATTGTGGTGTCCGGGCCAGCTTGTGCGTTGTGCACACCTCGACTAATTCCATGGCGCACTTGCTAGCTCCCATCAACACCGGTACTGGCTAACTTTGTTCACTAAGACCTGGACAAATGGGAAGAAATCACCTAGTGTTTTTGCCTCCGCTAAGTTTTGAACCTGAGACCTCATGATTTTGAACTCACTTTATTGTCCATTAGGCCACACCCGTGAGTGCTTTTTTTGAAGTAAGGAAATTTGAAGTCCTTTTTAAATTAGTCTAAAATAAGGATGCCAATCTTGCAAAGCATTCTGGACAAAAATGCACTAGATCAAACAAAAACATTTCATCGTCAAGGAAACAGCTAAAAGGATATGGTCAACAAACGTGCTTAACCACTTTTTGCACGTTCTCTAGCTTTCCATCTGCCATAATTTAGTATTGCTATTTTTTTTAAAAAAAAGAAACTAGCGGAGGTGCTAATTCTTGTAGTTATATTGTCCTCCTTCAACTTAGGTTATTTCTTTGGAGATCTTAGAACTAATATTTCTCTTTCGGGATAAGTTCACAAACCTTCCCTGTGGTTTTGACTGTTTAACACACACCCCGCTTCTTACTTAATTGTATCAAAACTATTTGTGACCTAAAACATGACAAGTTTTCCCCTAAGGTGGTAAGTTTACTTTTTTTTTATTTTGTGTGACAAAACTAACCATTTTTTCTTATCACTTGATGCAATGATATAATACATTCACGACACTTAATTTTCTAAGTTTTGATGCATGATATAATACATTCATGACACTTAATTTATATCCGTGCGTAAAGAATGATGAAATAATTAATTGGACATAGTCGCAAATATATTTGGATTTCTTCCATTACTACCAGAAAGCAAACATATTTGTCGCAAGTTTTGATGAAAATGGCTAATGTTGAACAAAAAGCTTCATATAATGATACAAAAGTTTCTAACCCCAAACTATTACTCCTTATGTCCCTAATTACTTGTCCACTTTTGAATTGACACACCTATTAAGTAAACAATGATTGACATAGTGAGTTTACAATTTTACCCCTATTAATTATGAAGTGGATGAATTAAACATTTAAGATTTTCAAGATGATCTACCTTTTTCAAAATTAATTAATTGAGGGTATAATAAGTAATTTTTTTTTTGTCCTTTCTTGATTTGTCAAAATGGACAAGTAAAAAAGGAAAATTGGACAAGTAATTAGGGACAGAGGGAATAGCAATTATCATCTGATGTATGTTTGCTGAAATGGTTTGGTGAGAATTCCTCATGTTGATTATTAAGGATGATTGGACTTGGTAACTTTTTTCTTATGTAGTAGCAAAAATGAGTGTCAATATGTATGGATATGAGACTTAGACCCCTTAATTTGTAATGTTTCAATAATTTTTAAAAACTTTACCTCTCTCCAAAACTTGGTTAGGTGGTTTTGTTTAAGAAATAAAAATAAAATAATAACAAATTTCTACTCACTTTTAAGCTAGTCTCTCTTTTATGTTATATTTTTTAGTGTTGTATGATATATATTTATTTATATTCTTATTAGCCAGAAATCACTTGAATAACTTGAATGAGTGTGATATGATTGGATACACATCCAATGAAATATAAGAATATAGTTTTGTTATATAAGAGGAAGAAAATTGAAGTATAAGTAATGTGTTTCCCGTTTGAAAATTAAATGATTAAATTATTAACCCAAAAATTGAAATGAGGTTCGTATATTGATATGTTTATACTTGTGTGCCATTAATATATGCAACAACAACAACATATCCAGTATAATCCTACTTGAAGTATAAGGTAGGGTTATGGAATGTTGAAGTGTGTGACCATCTCATCTAATAGCTTAAGCTTTTAATGAGATGGTCACACACTTCAACAAGGTATCAGAGAAGGCAGATGTCCTGAGATAGAATTTCACCGCCACCAATATCAAAAAAAAAATTCACGTGCTTGGTCCATGGCCAAGAATCAAGTCTACACGCAAGGGGGCGTGTTGAGAATACAACTAAGCTTTTAGATGGGACGGTCACACACTTCAACATGCAGACCATACCCCTACTTTATAAAGGAAGAGATGTTGTTTCTGATAGACCTTCGACTCAAAACAGATGAAAATTACATTGCCATTAATGTATGCATCCGACTATAAAATTTCAAATAACATAAGTTAAATTTCGGATACTATAATGGACCAGTCCCAGAAAAAGGTTAAAACTTTAAAATTTCTTTCATAGAATAGAAAAGAATATAAAATTGCGAAATAAGGGGCAAACTTGTCCTTTTCAAGTTAGAAAATAGTTTTTTACACTAAACATGATAGAAGGGAGGTATGTGTAATATTAGAAACCACAGGGGGAAGTATGTTAGGAGAGGTTTGTGAACTTATCCCTTATTATATTCCCACCTTAATTACAGTTTCAAATTATTGCGTTCACTGGGGAAGGTACCTTACATATGCCATGCTGGGTGTGGTGTTGAAATTTGCTTTATCCTGATCTTTTGGAGGTATCAAATTTATTGTTTTTTCAATCATATAGTAACCTAAGTCTTGGATACGAGTACAATGACGTGATGTGTTATCAAAATGATACAGCTGAATCGAATTTGGTCAGAGCAGAAATGAGGATCTCTTCTTTGGGTGAAAAGGAAGACTCTTGAGCTGATTCAAATGGAGGATCAGCAGTGAATTGGTATGAATTATGAAATGGCATAAAGAAGAGTGAAGTTTATGAGTAAGAGAGGAAGACTCTTAAGCTGATTCAAATGGAGGATCAGCAGTGAATTGGTATGAATTATGAAATGGCATAAAGAAGAGTGAAGTTTATGAGCAAGAGCTTCTAGATGATCATAGTAGCAGGAATCGGTAGATGAAAAGAGCCACTATGTGCTGTTATTTGATGAGTACAATATCTTTTGGTACAAGGCAGAGCTAAAGCCTTTGGAAGAGAAATGTACAGCCATATGAATATAGGCCTGCCAAAAGGCATGATTAATGCGGAAATACATAAATATTGAAGAAAGTTGAGGAAATAGGAGTACCATGTTATGCAAATAATCAACAACATAGATGGGAATAATCGAACATCTTGTTAAGAGTGGTAGCCTAAAATACTATAGTTGGGTGAAATAGGAATAATAGTTCGAAAAGAATGAGCTATGAACAAGTTATAACTATTTATGGTGGCACCTATTTAAGTTAGGGAAGCGTTTTTTTGGCCGTTTGGGTACATAAGGTAAGTATATTTTGTTAATGATTAGCACTAAGATGGTGTATTCTTTATGTCAGAAATAGATTACAAAATAGTCCTCGAACTAAGTATCTACTATGAGAAGCTGTGGAATTCGTAGATGAGATTAACATAGTAGAAAGAATCTTCGGATGAGCAGAGCCTGCTATTTGATGTGATTTGCTGAGTACAACATTTTAGGATAAAAGCAGAGCCAAAGTCTTCATACAAGAAAGGTACATCCATACAAAGTTGAGCTTATGAAAGGCATTATTGGTATGGAGTATATTCAATGAAGTTGAAGAAAATCGAGGAAATAGGAGGGAGTACTATGGTTATTCTTCAAATAATCAACAATATGGAAGCTAACTAATTGTGAATTTCATTGATCAAGTAGAGCCAAAATTACAAGTAATTGGAAAAAATAGGAACAAAAGAATGAAACGAGTGAGATATGCACAAATTGCAAACAAAAAGTCGGAACAAAAACTAGATTTGGACAAAGATCAATTACAACTTAATTTTTTAAAATGATGATGGTGTTTAGACCAATCTGCGCGCTTCTTTACTAACTAGCCTTGAAAGCTGTTACACTTACATCCCACAAGTATTAGGTCTCAGGTACTCCTGCCTAACCAAGTAGTCAAAAGGCGAGAAGTGCCCAAGTCTGCTGAGGCTTTAAGCGCAAAGTGCAATTAAAGCATGGGTTTTAGCAAGAAAAGAACCAATAAAGAAAAAATAGAAAAATAGAAATGTAATGCTAGAAAATGTAACTATAAAAGCTAAAAATAATTATTTGGACGCCCTCCCAGGGCTTTTGTCTTGTGGTAGGAGTGTAGCGCGTGATATGTGTGTTACACGCCTCATCATTGGTTTGAAACCTGCCTTAAACAAAAACTTGGTATTTAAGAGGAGAAAAGTAGGGGGGCAGTCCATTATCCATCGAGTTTTGAACCGTGCGCCAGCCCTTGGGATTTTTCCATCATTAAAAAAATAAAATTATTCAGACAGAAGAATGGAAAAAGATTAGTTAAGCTCTTTCTTTCTATATATATGTATGAAGTTAAAATCATGTCATCAAGTTAAAAATCATTGAATTCCTGAATTAGATGAGATGATGTAGTTTTATGTTTTTAAGTGGCCAATTTTCTTATACTAAACTTGTAATTTCTTATTCGTAGTCGCCAACTATATGTGTTGTCAAGTGTGATGCTCTTATAGACGGAACCAATTAATGAAATTGTGCTTGCCTTTGCTCATTGATGCCTCACTAGAGCCCCAATTAAGCTAGACAAAGCGCACAACTCAGGCTTCCCTACGCTATAGGGCTTAAGCACGCTTTAGGTGATCCCTTAACTGCCAATCAGAGATTGTCTCAATGATTCTTACAAGAAATTTTCTTTGTGAATTACCATCAGGTATATCGATTATCTCTTCTTAGGAGATTATGTTGATAGGGGCCAGCACAGCTTGGAGACCATGACTCTTCTCCTTGCTTTAAAGGTACCTGATTTCTCTGGATGTTAGCTCTGCTTTTGCTTTTTGAATTAATCAATTGTTTTTTATGCTGATAAAATGGTTGATTTAGGTTGAGCATCCCCATAACGTTCATTTAATTCGAGGGAATCATGAAGCGGCAGATATTAATGCACTTTTCGGCTTTCGAATTGAGTGCATTGAACGCATGGTATGGTATCACTTACTGGAAAAGAACTCCAGTTTCTGAGTTAGCTACTGATGTTCATATCTGGAACAGGGTGAGAGAGATGGAATCTGGGCTTGGCATCGGATTAATAGGTTGTTCAATTGGCTTCCTCTCGCAGCACTAATTGAGAAAAAAATAATCTGTATGCACGGCGGCATTGGAAGGTCGATTAATCATGTAGAACAGATAGAGAATATCCAGCGTCCTATCACCATGGAAGCAGGGTCGATTATTCTGATGGATTTGTTGTGGTTAGTCTCTGTCTTTTCTTTTTCTTTTGTCATTACTTTTGATTATCTCCCACTTCCTTACTTTACTTGTGTGCATCTAGGTCTGATCCAACGGAAAATGATAGCGTTGAAGGGTTAAGACCAAATGCAAGAGGTCCAGGGTTGGTTACTTTTGGGGTGAGTAGTTCTTTCAGTCTCTTCTTTCAGGGTAGTAATGAAATTGATTTTCATTTGACCGGTTTTAGACCAACTTTTTGGGAGCTGCCACATTCTTTTTCAGTTGTATCAACTGGCATTTGAACCAAAAAAGTCAGCCTCCACATGCCCTCAATTACTCAGGCTGTGTTTTTTCCAAAATCTTCTGTACAACTTTCTTGGGATCAACTGCAGTCCTGTCATTTGCAATAATTCTACGTTTTAGCTACAAGGGTCTGAGCAAATTCTTTTTTTTTGTGCAATTACTCTCTTTCAAGATAATTGCATTCAAGAGTCCTTTAATTGGTAATTTGGTTCAGTCAGCTGGGTGTCCTTGAAGGTTTCTTAAAGTATCAGGGACATCATTTTGCTGTTGGCTCAATTCTGGTTTTGGTCTGTGGAAACCGTAGGTTATTCTTCTAATCTTGTTTCTATAGGGTTTTGGTTGAGTGCAGTTTCTCTAGCATTTCCTATGTCCTCATGTAAGCCTTTGCCAATGTGCAGCCTGATCGTGTGATGGAATTTTGCAACAACAATGATCTTCAACTGATTGTGCGAGCGCACGAATGCGTGATGGATGGTTTTGAACGATTTGCTCAGGGACATTTAATTACATTATTTTCAGCCACCAATTATTGTGGTATGTTCTAATTTTAGATGTTTGAAAATTGGGAAGAGTTCTACTCAAGATAGTGATTTTATCTTCTATTCAAATATTTCTCTGGATTTTTCTTATATAATTTTCTTGGCTGCAGGTACTGCTAATAATGCTGGCGCAATCTTGGTATTGGGTAGAGATCTTGTAGTTGTTCCAAAACTTATTCACCCATTGCCACCAGCACTTTCATCACCAGAAAATTCACCTGAGCGTATGGAAGACACTTGGATGCAGGTTCAATATTTCCAGATCTTTTGCTTCGACTATTTACTTTTACTTTGATATATATTAATCTTGCTTACATTGCTTTGTTTGAGTAGGAGCTAAATGCTAACAGACCACCTACGCCAACTAGAGGTCGTCCTCAAACTGCCAATGATCGAGGTTCTCTTGCTTGGATTTAGATAATAGTGAAGATTGTTTCCTGCACTTCAGGCTCCTGCTAACATCGAGGAATTCCAGTTGTATGTACAGCATGATGCCATTTGGAAAAATGGCGGAGTTATAGATATCATCTTGTAGAGATATGAGGCTTCGAGGCCCTAGGGATCTTTGACAGAATGGACAGGCTTCAGACAGAGCAAGATTGAAACTTTCCCAGGTTGCAGGTGCACCTGTTCAACTTGATTGAAGCAGTTGGGGGTTTCGAGTTGGCCTTTGTAAATTAAGCCACAGGCAGGTAGAAGGAATTAGAGTCTTCTTCGTTATCAAGGGCTTGTAGTGCTGGATTTTGTTTTGTTTATTGTACTTTGTCATCGTTGTTGATATATATATTTTTCTTCGTTTTAGGTGTATTATTTTTGTCTATGGTAAAAGAGGACTTGAGGTCCCATATATATATATATTATTGATGAAATATATATAGTCCTGAAATCTCTGTTGGGAGTTCTTGTATCATAGATAGAGGGTGTTAATTTGTGTAATTTGTGATGATACCTTGTACAATGTAACAATTTGAAGAAGAAAAGAAGCTTTCTCTGACAAGAAAATGAGCAATGGCTGATTATTTCCTTTTTATTTCCATGTTGCATATTTACCTTGATGAAGAAACTTAGACCGGCCAATATCGGACTCTTCTTTTAAGTTTTTTTTTTCTCCAACAGGCTTGGATTGTGGAAATCAGGCTTGACATGTCTGAATCTTTATTTGTAGGACTTTGTGCGATGGGCGATGGGCTCATGCATGACAGGCCTGAATCTTCATTTATAGGACTTTGTGTGATGGGTTCGTGCATGATAGGCTTGAATCTTCATTTGTGGGACTTTGTGGGAATCTTCATTTGTAGGAATTTGTGTGATGGGTTCGTGCATGACACGCCCGTATCTTCATTTGTAGGACTTTGTGGGATGGGTCCGTGCATGTAGTACACCTTCAATTAGTGCCACTTATCAATTTGATATAGCTGTTGTGGAAAGTAAGCTTGACATGCTCGAATCTTCACTTGTAGGACTTTGTGCGATGAGCTCGTGCATGACAGGTCCGAATCTTCATTTGTAGGAATTTGTGTGATGGGTTCGTGCATGACACGCCCGTATCTTCATTTGTAGGACTTTGTGGGATGGGTCCGTGCATGTAGTACACCTTCAATTAGTGCCACTTATCAATTTGATATAGCTGTTGTGGAAAGTAAGCTTGACATGCTCGAATCTTCACTTGTAGGACTTTGTGCGATGAGCTCGTGCATGACAGGTCCGAATCTTCATTTGTAGGAATTTGTGTGATGGGTTCGTGCATGACACGCCCGTATCTTCATTTGTAGGACTTTGTGGGATGGGTCCGTGCATGTAGTACACCTTCAATTAGTGCCACTTATCAATTTGATATAGCTGTTGTGGAAAGTAAGCTTGACATGCTCGAATCTTCACTTGTAGGACTTTGTGCGATGAGCTCGTGCATGACAGGTCCGAATCTTCATTTGTAGGAATTTGTGTGATGGGTTCGTGCATGACACGCCCGTATCTTCATTTGTAGGACTTTGTGGGATGGGTCCGTGCATGTAGTACACCTTCAATTAGTGCCACTTATCAATTTGATATAGTTGTTGTGGAAAGTAGGCTTGACATGCTCGAATCTTCACTTGTAGGACTTTGTGCGATGAGCTCGTGCATGACAGGTTCGAATTTTGTGGGATGGATCCGTGCATGTAGTACACCTTCAATTAGTACCACTTATCAATTTGATATGGTTGGTATTCTCTTGGCTTCTATTTTGTCTCATAAAATCCTAGGTGTTGTGATTGATGCTATTACACTCAAAAACATTCTTTTTAAAATTCTTATTCCTTTTCTTCCTCTTGTTGAGAGAATCCATACTATTTAGCCACATTGTGTTGGAATCGAAATAATCAGACTGTCATGTGGAAACTAATAATTATAAATCTAATGACTACATTGTGAATGTTAATATGTTTTTTTGTGAGATAGATTGATTCTCAATTTATAAAAGTCTAAACCTTTTCTCTTCTTTTCCATCGAGAAAACCATTTTGGTCCAAAAAAATCTTTTTTAATTAAAATACTCCCTCCGTTTCATAAAGAATGACCTGGTTTGACTTGGCACGGAGTTTAAGTAAATAAAGAAAACTTTTGAATTTTGTGGTCCTAAATTAAAGTTATGTCAAATGTACAAAATTGCCCTTAATCTTGTGGTCTTAAACATGCCACGTGAAAAGCAAAAAGTAAAATGTTATCAAAAAAGGAAAGAGGTCATTCTTTTTGAAACTGACTAAAAAGGAAAGGAGGTCATTCTTTGTGAAACGGAGGGAGTATTTTCTTTTGAGCCAACTTTTTCTCCTATTTTAGTTGGAAATTAGAGAAATGATGTTGACAATAGAGACATCTTTTAAATTCAGCCTTCCTTTGATTGGTTTAATTATATTTGATGGGAAGAAAATGCGGAGATAATAATGAGGTCATTCTTTGTGAAATGGAGGGAGTACATATGTATAGAATCCAAATTCTCATTAATCTTTTTACTATTAGGAGTAGACTAAACCGGTATGGCGGTATTCGTTATTCCTTGTTCTAATCTATTGATTAATAATAGTAATATTTCATAGCTGATTATTAAAAAATTCTGCTTCCGCTACTGCTAGACGATTAAATGTGGATGTGTCCTATTATCAGTTTGCCACGTAGCCTTAGAACCTAATTCCCTATCTGCATGGCTCTAAAAAAGGAGGAATATTTCTTCAAATATTCTTTCATTTTACTCCACTTTCCTTTTTTACTATGCCACCAAATTAATCATCCCATCATTGCAATAGTTGCCTAAAGAAGTTAAGTGAATTCAGAAATATTCAAAATAACTATGTTTTACTTTTCGAGAGTTAAATTATATTAATTTTAACACGTAAGTTTTCACCATATTGATATAAAACGAATTACAATAATATATAAAACTTTCCATATAATTTTCAAGTATCAAACTACTCATATATAATATCATAATGATATTAACTCAGAACATGTACACATTATTATTCTTAATTTTTTTATCGAAAAATATAACGTATAATAATAATATATTCAGTGTAATCTTATAAATGAAATAAAAAATATCAAGTAATGTATACGTCATTTATTTTGTTTGTAGTTATAAGATGTATCAATCAAGCTCTTTTAAAAGCTTAATAAAAGCAAGTATAGTTGGAGAGGAGTATTTTCAATTCACTTTTTCTATGATTCACAAAATTTAACATACAAATTTTGATTTTACATTACACATATCCAAAAGAAGAAAAATGTTCCTTTGGTGACGTCCTATGATTCAACAATTCACCATACATTCATGAAGATTATTTCATGTAAATAAAAAATGATAATTAAGTACTTAAAATTAAAGTATTTAAAATTCAATAACTCCGCATTAGAGTCTAATTAATTCGCACTCATAACGTAGGACTTATTCGGAGAAAATATCCTTTACTAAAGATATTTCCGTATTCAAAACTCTAACTCAAAATCTCTGATTAGTGGACTATTCTTAAAGGGGATTGAATTACAATTTATATATTTATTCATTCTGTGTTTTCCCCCTTTTGTAAGACCTTTCCTAGCTAGGGGTTTATTAGATAGATATAATTTTTTATTTCATTTTAACTATATGATATTTCAAATTAACTGACTAATTTAGATTCATCCTAAATAAATTTATAATTAAAGGAGTACTACTTTTTTTTACTGATTTCTTTTATTTCAATCGATTTTTTTTCCGATTTACTCTTGATTGAAAAAGTTCATTATTTTCAAAGTTCAAATCCAAAATTTCTTATGGTCAAAGATGAAAAAATCTCGATCATCCCATCACACGTTGATTCTTGGTGAATTGAATTAAAAGATACACTAGATCTTTGAAATGTTTTGGTTGTCAAAGACAAGTCATGTTATGATTGGATACTATTCCAACTAGCAACCATATGTAGTAGTATATATACTATCTACATGCCATCTATATTACATTAATTATATACATTGAATTGATTCAATTTATGTGGAAGATACATTTTCTCTTTTACTTTAGCACAAGGAATATGGCGTTTTTTTTTTACTTAGTGTTCAATAATCGTATTGAAATCTCAATTAATTTAGATTTACGTCACGTAAGATTTGTTTAAGAGGAAAATATAGAATTTTTTTTTTTATATTCAAAACTCGAATTTGAAATATCTGATTAGATGAACTCGAGAAACATCAATAGTTCACCTTCTTTGACAAAGTGATGTACTTGTAGACTTTTATTTATTAATAATTAATAATAGAGAAAGCTCATGTGTGCTTCAAGTTATAAGAAGAGAACATTAAGTACATATCTGACATTTTAAAAAATTATTTTGGAAAAATAAACATAACAATATTTTCAAAACAAACATGTAATGTTCCAAACGTAAAAAAAGAACAGAATTTACTAAACAATATATTTTATTTGTATATTAGTATTTAATATAAATTTAAATGAAGCATGGTCAAGTGGTAATGTAACAAATTTTGAGCACACTATTTTTAATATAATAAACAAGTAAAAATGAAATGAAGGAGTATTTAAAAAATAAAAAACCAATCTACTTCTATTAAAATAAAAATAATATAATAAATTATACCTTATATGTTTTTTTAAAAAATGTGAAAATAATAATAAAAAAACGATCGTTAAAATGAGATGGAAAGAATATTTGATTTCATTTGTTGTCATATTGCAATAACTACCACCAAAGCATGTGGTACAATGGATAAGACAATTCCTCTTTTAATCAGATGTCTCATAGTCGAGTCTTGAGTATGAAAAAAATTCCTGCTAAGGAGATCTTCATCCTGAATAATGCCTTATTTGATACAAATTCAAATTAGTCGGACTTCAATACGAGTACCAGACACCAATTAAAAACAATTAATTTTCTTTTGCAATAAACAAACCAATTATGGATTCTCTTTGGAATTGACAAGCTAGCATTATGATAAATTCAGTTCTAGAAACTTGAAAACAACAGATTTTTTTTTTTTTGGAACGACAAATCAAATTATAGAGAAACTTAATTAAAAAAAATAAAAACAGACAGAAAATGGAAGAACCTTGTTCCAATTACCAAGAATATCACCAAAAAAAATCCAAAGCATATGACCAACTCACTTGGGCCAATATTCCCTTTTATCCATAATTTAGCTGTCCCAGCAACATTTAAATTGAACAACAACTATATAACACTAAAATAAATAATGAATTTTGTGATAATATTTAGCGGCAATAATATAATAGTCAGTATATATATTTAACGATATTAATTAATATGAGTATTAATAATCAAAACTCTATATAAATGTCGCTAAAGACTTTAACGATCTTGAACGTAATGATAACAAAATTTCGTATATCAGACTGTCATTTGATAGATAATTTGAGACGATAGGAATGTAAACTAACAGGAAGAAGTTTTGTAACTTGTACAAGCCTAGGATAGTCCAAATATGTCAATAGTACCAAAAGACTAGT